AGTGAGCCTCGTCTCGCTCTTCGTCTACTCGAGCCTCGCCTCGTGTGCCGCCTCGTGGGCGGCGTGGCGTGGCGGGCGGCTGTCTCTGCCGCCGCCTCGAGTGAGCCCCTCGTCTCGCTCTTCGTCTACTCGAGCCTCGTCTCGTGTGCCGCCTCGTGGGCGGCGTGGCGGGCGGCTGTCTCTGCCGCCGCCTCGAGTGAGCCTCGTCTCGCTCTTCGTCTACTCGAGCCTCGTCTCGTGTGCGCTTCGTGGGCGGCGTGGCGTTGCGGGCGGCTGTCTCTGCCGCCGCCTCGAGTGAGCTTCGTCTGGCTCTTCGTCTACTCGAGCCTCGCCTCGTATGCCGCTTGTGGGGAGCGTGGCGTGGCGGGCGGCTGTCTCTGCCGCAGCCTCGTGTGAGCCTCGTCTCGCTCTTCGTCTACTCGAGCCTCGTCTCGTGTGCTGCGGCGGGTGCTCCCGGGCGTGGCGGGCTGCTGTCTCTGCCGCCGCCTCGAGTGAGCCTCGTCTCGCTCTTCGTCTGCTCGAGCCTCGTCTCGTGTGCCGCCTCGTGGGCGGCGTGGCGTGGCGGGCGGCTGTCTCTGCCGCCGCCTCGAGTGAGCCTCGTCTGGCTCTTCGTCTACTCGAGCCTCGCCTCGTATGCCGCTTGTGGGGAGCGTGGCGTGGCGGGCGGCTGTCTCTGCCGCCGCCTCGTGTGAGCCTCGTCTCGCTCTTCGTCTACTCGAGCCTCGTCTCGTGTGCCGCCTCGTGGGCGGCGTGGCGTGGCGGGCTGCTGTCTCTGCCGCCGCCTCGAGTGAGCCTCGTCTCGCTCTTCGTCTGCTCGAGCCTCGTCTCGTGTGCCGCCTCGTGGGCGGCGTGGCGTGGCGGGCGGCTGTCTCTGCCGCCGCCTCGAGTGAGCCTCGTCTCGCTCGTCGTCTACTCGAGCCTCGTCTCGTGTGCCGCCTCGTGGGCGGCGTGGCGGGCTGCTGTCTCTGCCGCCGCCTCGAGTGAGCCTCGTCTAGCTCTTCGTCTACTCGAGCCTCGTCTCGTGTGCCGCCTCGTGGGCGGCGTGGCGGGCGGGCGGCTGTCTCTGCCGCCGCCTTGAGTGAGCCTCGTCTCGCTCTTCGTCTCCTCGAGCCTCGCCTCGTGTGCCGCCTCTTGGGCGGCGTGGCGTGGTGGGCGGCTGTCTCTGCTGCCGCCTCGAGTGAGCCTCGTCTGGCTCTTCGTCTACTCGAGCCTCGCCTCGTGTGCCGCCTCGTGGGCGGCGTGGCGTGGCGGGCGGCTGTCTCTGCCGCCGCCTCGAGTGAGCCTCGTCTGGCTCTTCGTCTACTCGAGCCTCGTCTCGTGTGCCGCCTCGTGGGCGGCGTGGCGTGGCGGGCGGCTGTCTCTGCCGCCGCCTCGAGTGAGCCTCGTCTCGCTCTTCGTCTACTCGAGCCTCGTCTCGTGTGCCGCCTCTTGGGCGGCGTGGCGTGGCGCGTCTCGTGTGCCGCCTCTTGGACGGCGCGGCGGGCGGCTGTCTCTGCTGCCGCCTTGAGTGAGCCTCGTCTCGCTCTTCGTCCACTCGAGCCTCGTCTCGTGTGCCGCCTCGTGGGCGGCGTGGCGTGGCGGGCGGCTGTCGCTGCCGCCGCCTCGAGTGAGCCTCGTCTCGCTCGTCGTCTACTCGAGCCTCGTCTCGTGTGCCGCCTCTTGGACGGCGTGGCGGGCGGCTGTCTTTGCCGCCGCCTCGAGTGAGCCTCGTCTCGCTCTTCGTCTACTCGAGCCTCGTCTCGTGTGCCGCCTCGTGGGCGGCGTGGCGGGCGGCTGTCTCTGCCGCCGCCTCGAGTGAGCCTCGTCTCGCTCTTCGTCTACTCGAGCCTCGTCTCGTGTGCCGCCTCGTGGGCGGCGTGGCGTGGCGGGCGGCTGTCTCTGCCGCCGCCTCGAGTGAGCCTCGTCTGGCTCTTCGTCTACTCGAGCCTCGCCTCGTATGCCGCTTGTGGGGAGCGTGGCGTGGCGGGCGGCTGTCTCTGCCGCCGCCTCGAGTGAGCCTCGTCTCGCTCTTCGTCTACTCGAGCCTCGGCTCGTGTGCCGCCTCGTGGGCGGCGTGGCGTGGCGGGCTGCTGTCTCTGCCGCCGCCTCGAGTGAGCCTCGTCTCGCTCTTCGTCTGCTCGAGCCTCGTCTCCTGAGACGTCTCATGGGCTGGGTTGGTTTCGGTTCTGCCGTCTGTGCCGCCGGTTCGAGCTGGCCTTGTCTTGACTTTCGTCAACCTTCAACCTCGTCTGTGTGTTCGGTCGGAGGGTGGCGCGGAATATGATTAGATTTATCTCCCACCTCATTGAGTCTCACCCCCTTGTCTCTTTT